TAAAGTTCAATAACAATATATAAATGCGAACAAAGATAGATAGATTACAATAGATTATTTAGGACAATTAGGATAAGATTTGAATAGTAAGTAGAATATATAGTATTATAAGAAATCATTGATCTACTTACTGTTAATTATTTCTCAATATTTACAAAAAATCGTCAATATTTATTATGTGGCACAATAGTTAATTATTTAACATTCAATAATGAAGATGAATATGATGATTTATTATGATAGGATAATATGAACAAGCTTGAATTAGTTATATAAATAGATTCAGTCTAAATTATTGAGTGCTCGTCCAAATGTATGAATGACACTGATGTTATAGGGGAGAAAACAAAACAACAATAGACGACCACCGATACTCAATAAGCAATATTGTATTGTATATTAACGATTACAAAGAGATAGATAAAACGATGTAGGAAATTGATCAATTTAAATTCCAAATCATATACTAGAATAAGAGATGTCACATTTATTAATATATTTGTTTCTGTTCAATTATTCATTGGCGACCAATTGATGATAATCATTTTAGACCTTGACACAACATAATGGATTTTTCAAACAAAAATCAAAATCTCGATTTTTGAATAAATTAACAATCTATATAAAAATCGAATATTACCATAAACAGCTTATATAATTTTTAATATTATCATTTCAATTGCCAAATATTTGAAATGCTTCAATAAGCACATTACTCAAGGCGGAAAAAGCAATAAAAAATGATTTAAGTTTGATTTTTGTCGGATTTAAATTAGCTGTTTCCCTCTTGATTAAAATAATGAATGCGTGTATAGTAATATATAAAATAGAGGTGTTAGTTATAATTTAAAACTACAAGTGCTTTTTTTTCTTGTATCAGAAACAGATTAAGAACATAAATTGAAGAGTCACAATTAAGACTGTTTATCTATCAAGGTATTTCTATATTTTTGTGAACTGAGAAATATACGATTCTGAAGGTATTGATTTAAGAAGTAATGACCTAATATTGAAAATGAAATCTAATCGTTGTTAATAAATTCTGTATATTCTATGTAATATTTCTTTTATTAGAAATTCAATGTTCTAAAGGAGTGTCTTGTTAAGAATTTTTCATTCGTTTAGATTTTAAAATAAGCTTAAACGTTTCCGATCGAGTGTTGCCAAATGGCAACATTTTACCGTAGGGGAGTACGGCATTTTTTGAGTAGGCAGCCGGAAAAGATTTAGTAACGTCAATGAATCTTATAAGAG